TGCCCCCAAGTGGACTTTCCCAGCATTTTCACCCCCGTAAGGCAACTTAAACTCCGCCTCAGCGCCTCCCCCTCTGCCTAAGATAGAAATCTGGCCCCACCAAAATCCCCACCCTCATCTCATGCATCTCCACTCCCTCCATGCTCCCTGCCTCTGCTCCTGACAGGTCCTGGAACATGTCCTGCTCCTTCAGGCCTGACCTGCCTACAAACTGCTCCCTCTTCCTGGAGCTCTATTCTCCCTTCCTGCCCTGCCCCAGGTCCACTCTCCACAGTGCAGGCAAAAGAGCTGTAAAAACACGAGCCTGGTGGCATCACAGCCCAGCTTAAGCCTCTCCTGTGGCCCCTACTGCCCTGGGATAAGCCACTAGACCTGGGCACAGCCTGCATGGTCTAGCTTGATCCGGTCCTTGTCGGTTTCCAGCCTCACAGCATCCTCTGTTCCCTGGATGCCCCAAGAATCTTCCTGCCTCAGGACCTTTGCATAGGTGGTTGCTGCCACTTAGAAAGCTCTTCCCCTCCCTTTTTGCCTGACTGGCTCCGTATCCTTTTGGTCTCAGTTCGAATCGTTCCTTAGGGAGGCCCTTCCTGCCAATTCAGGCCCCATTGTTCAATCTCACATATTGTCACAGTGATACTGTTAACAGTATACATCCCAGTTTCAGTTTATATATTCATTTGTCTGAATGTCTGGTTATCTCTGCCACCCCCCTAGAATATAAGCTCAGTGGGGGCAGGGAGCATCCTGTTGTTGGTGGTGCCTAGCACAAAACAGAACCTAAGCAAAGACACTGAATGAGGAAATACATCCATGAAGATCCTCTGGGCCCCTGAAAGAGGCAGAGACTGGAGGCAGTGCTCCCTGCAGGGTCTGCCATGTGCCTTCTCCCCTGCCTGACCGTGTCCTCTTTGGCGAGTGGTAAGTCAGCAGGGATGCTGTCACCATGGCTACACACTCAGGAACCCACATCCTGTTTCAGGACTATATTTAATTCACTCAATTCCACTCATCACTTCTACCAGGAAGATCATAACATTTTGACATCATTAGGGGCCGAGAGATGGCAGCGCATCAATGAGCCACTAAAATGCCAGGCAGGAGCCACTGCCCCCACCCGTGCCTTGAAAGGCTCCCACCCAATGGGAGGCCATTTTGTCCTTTGCATCCTGGGTAGGGCGTGTCCTCTGCTGGGTAGATGGGAAGACGGCTGGAGGCCCAGGGTCATTGGGAATCTGGAGACACCACCAAGGCCAGCCCACCTGTGATTGGCTGAACAAACGAGTTCATCTGATTGGTCCAGCTGACAGGAAGCAGTTGCTGATTGGTTCCTCCTGTGACTCGCTTGTGAGATAAATACCTGTCTCCCCAGCCTGGACGGTTGTAAGGCGTCCACATTTCTACTGTTTATTCATTCTGCCAGCAGCCCCCAAGGCAGTGTAGCAGAGACCACAGCCCTCGGGACCTCTCGGGGCATTGGCTCTTCCAGGGTCCAATGGTCCTGTGGTAGGGGGTTGAGTCCCGGACTCAGGTCCTTCCAGAATTTCTTTCTCTTCCCTCTACCAAGTGGTGAGCTGGGAAAACTGACATGAAAATGTTTTCCTACTTTTCCACAAGGCCTGTCCCCTGAACACTTTGAACTGAGCCACCAGCTCAGGGGACCCCGCTGTCACGTTCTGTGGGCTTAGGGGGGCTACAGTCACATCAGGGAGGCCCTTGTTCTCCTTGGGGTCCTATGAACCAGAGTGTGCACCAGGGCGTGAAGAGGATCTCTGGGGTGTTTGTCCAGGACCCCCCTTCCCTCTTCAGCATGGAGTCACCTTTGTGGGGAGAAGCCAATTCTGTGTGGTGGAGGGGGGCGCCCCCACTGGGGTGGACACATGATTTAGCTTCAGCCAATCAGAACCATCCCTGAGATTTGGCATAGGGACACTAGGAGGGAGACGGTCCCTCTTCCTCTGGGATCACAAGCCACAAGGCCCGTCTAAGCCTGGAGCTGCTGGTGGCTGTCTTCCCCCAAACGAGGAGAAAGCCTGTTTGAGAAGGGCGTCAACAGAGGGGAGTAGAGCCGAGAGGCTGGTGCATTCTGGAAGACTGAGAGGAGGCCCTGGAGGCTGAGAGAGAAGGAGGGGTGAGGCTGAGGGGGTCATGGGGGAGCCTCCCCCACCCAGGTGAAAGGTCATCGCTTCCCCAGCACCCCCGTGCCATGCACAGTGCTGAGCCCTAAGTGGTCCTGGGTGGAGACGGGAGTGGCTAAGACTTTTTTCGCTCACCCCGGGCCCCTGTCACTCCTAGTCTCTGACTCTGCTCTTGGCACAAGCTCATGGTGTTCTGCTGACCCCTGAAGGTGTTGGTTCAAAAACTAGCCCCGTACACTGAGGGCAAGGAGAGACTGAAGAAAGAGGCAGACCCCTCCAGATGGTAGGTGGCAGTTCTAATAAGCAAGGGCACTTCATACGAGGCTTGTCTTGGGCGACTGCAAGACAAGTAGATCACCACACCCACCCGCCAGAATCTTCAAGTTTATGTAGAGACCTCAGCTGGCTCCAGTTACGTGTACCGTCCAGATGGTCTCACCAACACGTTGCTCTCTCAAGGCTGTGTCCTTGAAAATGGCTCCCAGTGTGGAACGGTGGGCAGAAGGTATATTCTAAGGACAGGGGAGGGGGAGAGGAGCCTCCAATTGCCCAGCTTGAGGTCAACTGGAGGTCACGTCCTCTCGATGACCTCCTCTAACAGAAAGGGCCCTGGTCTGACAGGGACAGGATGGGAGTGCGTAGCTGACCCTGTGACCCGGGCAGGTGCCTTGACCTGCAAATCGGAGGGATGATAGTGCCCCCTCGCAGGGTGATTGTGAGGGACAGAAGAGACAATGCAGGAAGGGGACGAGCCCCATAAACCCAGCTACGAGGCTCCTGCCATCTTCTGCAGCCACGCCTCCCTACACAGTCCTGCTTTTCCCCAGAACAGCATTGAAGGTGCACTTGGGCAGAGCATGCGCCCTCACACAGCGGGATAAAGTGACCCCCACAGACAGGGCGAGCACCAAGGCCCGTTCCGCAGGGGACATGGCCACCCTATGAGGACTCCGCCCACCCCTAGACCAGACCAGACGAGGCTGCCCTGACTCTTCCCCTCATAACAACGGAAGGAGGAGGTGGCCGACATTGCCCCCCAGAGGTCGGCTTCTTCCCCGCTGATCCCTGGCCCAGCACGTTGTCCAGGCACAGTAGGTGCTCCAGGCCGTCCCTGACACATGAGGGGCCCAGGGCAAGAGCACAGATGGAGCCCACATACCATATGCTGAAAATTTTAAAGTGGTAAATCAAGCTACCAAACTATTACATACAATATGTTCTATTCTGCTCTCTGCACAAATACAACTTTATGACAGACTGGGAAGCCAGGTTTGACTTTTGAGTTCTCAGACCCTATGAGCTCCACCTCAGAAGGTGGAGGCACAGGAAAAACTGGGCGTTAGCTCCTCCCGCCCCCGGATCCAGCCAGGACCATGAGGGCCTCACGCACACATGTGGACACGTCCAAGCGCCTGCCACAGCCTCTGCAAACAGCTGCCCCTCGGAAGCCCCCAGGCCTGGGCTGCTCACCCCACACCACAATCCAGCTTCAGTAGGACAGACCCAGGGAAGAGGCCCACGTGGGCTGAGAAAGTGGGGTCCAGGCCCTCTGAGTGGGGAATTCCGGGGCCCCAGGTACCCAAACTATAGTCAAGAATAGAAGAGGGGCCCAGGTTTCAGATGGCCATGCAGATCCCACATTCCATGGGGAGGATCACGGCCAGAGGAGGGCCAGCATGGAGTCCTCTAAAGTGCAGGGCCCAGGGCAGGGGCCTCTTGCCCGGGTCTGAGGATGGTGTGAAATCCAGCCCCGTTCCACCCGCCAGGCCGTCTGCCCGGTTCTGCAGCGGGAGGGACCCCAGAGGCTGGAGCAAGCCATCAGGGAGAGCGGGATTCGCAGACCCCATGCCAAAGCCGCGGACAAAGGTCCAGGGGCAGCACCAGAGCTGGACCATGGAGCTTCAAGGATGATATTGGCCAGAAAAGAGCTCTGGGCTCAAGAGAGGAGCATCCAAAACGGAGGCCCCCAGACTCGCCCCAAGTCCATGTGGGCAGGTGAGAGGGTGGAGGTGGGGTCTTTCCTTGCTTCCTGCCAGGGCTGAGGCAGGGCTGACAGACCCACGTACACTGCAGCACTACCCTGAGCATCACAGCTCAAAACGGAAGCCGCGAGCACCAGTTAGGAGCAGGTACTTACAGACAGATCTACCACGAGACAATTCAACCTGCATCGTGAAATTGCCTGAGTTTACACACTCACACTCTGTGTAGCTCATGGTGCAAATGAGTACAATTTTAAGAGCCACAATTTCCAGGAGTTCATGAATTTCATCGTTCTTTGTAGCTCTTTCCTGAAACAGAAGAGTGAACAGGAGACATTGTCATTTAAAGAAAAGGAAGAAGAAAAGGTAAAAGCTTGTTCAGTGGAAACTGCTTTTTACACAATGTATCTTAAAAGGATGGCTGCATTTTCCAAATTGTCACCCATGATCCCCTGGCTGGGGAGGAGGGGGTGGGGGTGGCTGTGTGCAGCTTGAATTGTTCACAGAGGCACAAAGCAGGACCCCAACACGTCTGTGCTCCCGTCATTAAGTGGAAAAGAAAACTGTTTTCTGTGACTCTCGGGTGAATTGTCAGTTTTCATGTTTACAGAGAATCCATTTCTGCAGACTGAGTTCAGGCCAGAACTCCCTTGTCAAAGCTGGACAGAGAAACATGGGATGGCAGGAGGGCAGGAGAGGGACAGCCATGCACCCCCACATGGGATTCTGGAAAGGACACCGGGAGTGAATGTATGTGGGAATAACAACCCTCCTGTGGGTCTGGCGCTTCACCATCTAAAAGGCCCCTCCAGACCCCCATCTCGAGGTGACACTGGCTGCCTCTGACCCAGTGCATCTTCTGTATCAGGCACCTTATGAGCACTATCTCACTGAATCCTCACCATGACTTGGAGGGAGGTGCTGTTACTGTCCCCATTTTGCAGATGAGGAAGCTGAGGCTCAGGGAAGGGGAGGGGGTTGCCCAGGGTCACACAGCTAGGAGTCAGTGGAGCAGGACACAGGTCCCAGAGTGTGACTCCCAGGAGGTGTGGGTTAAATGAGGTAGCTGGTGTGGGTGCACAGAGTAATGTAAACCTCCATAAATCTGAATTATTATGCTTTTTTTTTTTTTTTTTTTGTGAGGAAGACCAGCCCTGAGCTAACATCCAATGCCAATGCTCCTCTTTTTTGCTGAGGGAGACAGACCCTGGGCTAACATCCATGCCCATCTTCCTCTACTTTATATGGGACGCCCCCACAGCATGGCTTGCCAAGCGGTGTGTTGGTGCATGCTCGGGATCTGAACCAGCAAACCCTGGGCCGCCGCAGCGGAGTGCGCACACTTAACCGCTTGTGCCATCAGGCAAGCCCCTGAATTATTATGCTTTTTAACTGCTTTAATTTGCACAACTTCCAGGATTCATCCCTTTAAAGTATACAGTTCAATGGTTTTTAGCATATTCACAGAAGTGTGCCACCATCGCCACAGCCAATATTAGAACATTTCCATCACCTCCAGAAGAAACCTCATAGCCTTTGGCTCCTGGCCCAATACTGATCTTAAGAGACCGCCATCGTACACGCGGTCCTTCATTGACTGGAACGTCGTTATGTGCGTGATTGTAGCGTATGGCCTAGGTGTGGAGGCTGTACCATCTTGGTTTGTGTCAGTACACTCTGACGTTCACACAGTGATGAAATCGCCTAACAACTCATTTCTCAGAACCTATCCCCATCATCAAGTGGTGCACGACTGTATATGTCTTATTTGTCTTTCTTCAGGATTTTCTCTTTGGTTTTCAGAAATTTGATTTTGAATTTACTTGCCTAGATTTTTTGATTTTGTTTCATCTATACATTCTCTTTTTACTTTTGGTATTGACCCTGTTTGATGTTCTCTGAGCTCCTTGGACCTGTAGATTGGTGTCTGTCACTAATTTTGGAAAATTCTTGGACATTATTTCTTCAAGTGTTTCTTTTGCCCTTTTCTCTCTATTGTCCTCCTGGGATTACAATTAATTGTATATTATACTCTTTGATATTGCCCCACAGTTCTCGGATCCTCTGTTCTATTTTTGCATCTTTTGTTTTGTTTGTTTCAGTTTGGGTAGTTCATTGACTTATCTGTAAGTTCGCTGATTCTTTCCGCAGGCATCTCAAGTCTACTGATGAGCCTGTGGAAGGTATGTCTCATCTCTGTTACTGTGGTTTGCGTTTTAGCATTTACACATGATTGTCTCTTCGAGTTTCCTTCTTGGCTGAAATTAACCATTTGATCTTGCATGTTGTCTACCTTTTCATTAGAACCTTTAATATATTAATCACAGTAATTAAAAATTCCATGTCTGATAGTTCCGGCATCTGTGTCTTATCTAAGTTTGGTTTTGATGATTGCTTTGTGTCTTTTTTGTAGTTTTTTCTTTGCCTTTTCATATGCCTTATAACTTTTTATTGAAAGCTGGACATCTTTTGTAGGATGATAAATACTGAGGTAAATATGTTTTAATGCTTGAGATACACACACCTTTCTTCTCTAGACCTTTAGTGTGGGAGTATGTGTTAATCTAGCCAGGTGTTGGGATTGGCTTGAGGTCTGTGGTTGCTATGGTTACCCTCAGTACCTCGTAGGCTTCAAATTCATCCAGTGATACCTCGTGTTCAGGGTTTTGGCTGGTTTTCCAGAGGTCAGTTTCCAATGTCTGCTCCTCATGCCCCTGACTTTGGGTCTTTCCTTTGTGCTGCATCCCAGAGACAATCTGTGTCTCAAAGGTCCCCCAGACGTATTCCATTGTTATTTTTACTCAGTGCTTGCTAGCCAGTGTGGGAGGAGTGTGGGAGGGCGTACTTCTGATGATGTGATTAATTTTCAGTCTTAGGCAGGTACTGTGCCCCTGGGTCTCCCGGTGTGAACTTCACAGGCATTTCTGCCTCCAGCTGTAACACTGGGCCTGTCAGAAGCATGGATTCCTGCCCCTCCCCAGGGCTAGGATTTATTTTTATCCTGTTTCCTTTCCTCAGTTGCAGTCGATTTCCACCAGCACCCTAACGCGACAGTTTCTCTCTGCTCTGCAGAGGCAGGCTTATGGTCCCCGGAGGAAATAGGTCTGGGTGGGGTTTTTGCAGTGGGCAGCACCCCTTCCCTAGTCAGCACCCCAGGGATGCTTTCTCATGAGTCCCCCCGATCTTCCCTGTGAGGGCCTGGGGTTTGGGAAGAAAAATCTGAAACTTATTTTTTTTAAAGTTTGTTTATTCTTATAGGCTTACATTCTTACATCTACCCCAGGTATGTAAATGATCAGGACCTATTTCCCCCTGCAGGCCCCTGTCCTTTCCCAAATCAGGTTATTTGTTTGCACCGTGACATCAGTTCTCTGACGGACCATGCAGAGAGAGATTCTCTACTCTTTGGGGCTCAGTTTCCCCATCCGCAAACAAGCAGACTCCTTCCAACTTCAAAGCTTTACCCATGAGAAATAAGTTGGCTGCCTCAGGCTCTCCCTAACAGGAGAGAGGCTGCAAGAGGGCAAAGGGCTATGGGGTTAGGTTGCGCCCAATGAGGTTTTAAATGAGAGCCTTGATGGGGACTGAAGGGTTACTGCCTGAGATGCTCTGACCATGCTGCTGGAGGCTGTTTGTCCCTCCTCACCTGTGATTAATTCAGTTCGGCAAAGCGGTATTTACACTGGAAACTTAATGGTCATTTCTGATGGTAAAGAAATTGAAAAATAAATGGAAAGTGTCAGACGATGCATTAGGGTGGGTGATGGAGTGGAAGTGGGGGCCGCCCACCTGGGATCCCCATTGGGTGATTTTCAGACCCATACCATTAGCCAGGTTCCTGGTTTCATTACTGCAGGATCAAGATTCAGTCATGATGGGGTGAGAGGGGTGGAACAAGGGGGTCTGGGCAAGAATATGAGGAGGGAGACTCCAGTGTGGAGGCAGAGGCAGCATTAGGTATCGTTCAGCACTAGCCCCGTATCATGGATGAGGAGATGGGCTCAGAGAGGGGCAGCGGCCTGTCCATGATGACATAGATGGGCAAGAAAGCCCTTAGCCTTGGCAACTGTGTCCCAGGACACAGCCACCTTCCCTGTGCTGCCCTTCTGCCTCGAGCATGGAGATGTTGGTGGGGTGTCCACCTATGGGGGGCCACCTCCCTCGTGGTCTCTGTCAGGACAGTGTGAGCTTGTGTCTGTGAGTTTGCAGAGTGCTAGGTGTCTTCAGTGGTATCAGGTCTCACCCCAGGGCGCCCCTGATGCTGGTGAGGACTGGGCCTCTTCCATTAGACTGGCTGTTTTAGAAACAGGGCTTTCTCCCATCCGTGTGGGGACCCCTGAGAACAGGACTGTTTCTCTCCTCAGATTCTGAGCCCTAGGGGTAGAATTGTGTCTCTCTCTTCAGACTCAGAGCTAATGAGCACTTAAAGGCCTGGGTGTGATTCTCCTCTTTCACTTTTTCTCTCTGCCTGGGTGACCAGCACGCCTGCAGTGAGAACAATGTGGATCAGGGCCCCAGGTGACTGGAAAGGACAGGTAGCATGAGTGAAAAATTACCCTTAGTGGTTTTAAGCCACTGAGATTTGGGGATGTTTGTTACCACAACTTAGCCAGCCTAGCCTGACTGATACAAAGAACGGTGTCTGAGGTTGGAGATGCTAATTTGGGAATCACCAGGAATTGACAGAAAGCTACATTTCTTTTTTCACATTAGATGACCCTGGGAGAGAGAGTAGGGAGAGAAATGCCTGTTGCCTTTTCTCTGCCTCTAATGTGAATGAGCTCGCCCTCTTCCCCTCAGATCTGACCTCCATCCAACCTCTCCTCATACTCGACTCTGAGCCTTGGCCAACTCTGCAGTCTCCCTCTCCTGTCAGCTCAGACTCTCAGGTCTCTGCACCAGCCCTTCCTCCCCACCCCCATGGCTGTGGTCCCAGGCGTGTCTCTCCTGTGTGGTGGTGGGGGACGTAGGCTGTGGGGCAGGCAGCACTGAGTTCAAGCTTGGGGCCTCCCACTTACAAGCTGTGTGACACTGAGTGAGTAACTTAACCTCTCTGAGACATGGTTTCCTGGAAAAAAATAGGAGGGGCCATTCTCAGAACTTATCTTGTAGGGAGGTTGTGAGGGTTAAATGAAGTGAAGTATTTAACGTGCTGAGTACAGAGCTGGGCATACAGTAAGTGTTCAATATATTCTCACTAATATTACCTCATTATGGTCAGGTCTCACGATGTGTCTACTTAATGTGTTTAATTTTATGTGTCAACTTAGAGTGTTTTTGAATGAGATTAACATTTAAATTGATGAACTTTGGGTAAAGCAGAGTGCTCTCCACGATGTGAGTGGGCCTCATCCAATCAGTTGAAGGCCTAAATAGACCAAATAGATTGGCTTCCTCGAGCAAGGGTAAATTCTCCAGCAGAATGCTTTCAACTTCATCTGCACCATCGGCTACCCTGGGGCTTTGCCTGCTGGCCCATTCTGCAGATTTGGACTTGCCAGTCTCCACAATCATGTGAGCCAATTCCTTAGGATAATTCTTTTTCTTTCTATATATGCACATCCTATTGATTCTGTTTCTCTAGAGAACCCGGACTAGTACAGATTTTGGTACTGAGAGTGGTTCTAGAGGAATAGAATCTTAAGAATGAATTATGTTCTGAATTATTGCTGGGTTTCTGGAATTGGCTCTCTCATCTGACTAGATTTAAGGATGCTAATGACTCTATTTCCAGGAGTAAGGAGAACACTGATAGCCCACGGCATGATCTGGCAATAAAGATATGCAAAATATCACCACTGGATACTCCTAATCACCCACTTATAAGCAGCAAGGATCTGAGTGATCATGTATATGATACGTTTGAACGTTTTTGTCAAAGTAACAAATATAACGAGATTGGAGATGATTGATCCTTATGTCACTGGACAAAGTGGGAAAAGAAAAGGATGAGCTTAGGGATTCGAATTCCCAGCTCAAGAGTCATGTAAATGACCTGAAAGTTTCTATGGCTGCCCTAAAAGAGACCCCTACCTCCTGTAGTCACAGGGCTGAGATTGCTGAATACCAAAGCCAGATTCTCATCCTGCAGCTGGTTGACCTACAGTGCAAATGGATTTCTCAGCCTCGCAGGGTGTCTACTGTTAAAGGGAGAGCATTGACCGGAAAGGAATGGGATCCTGAAAGTTGGAAAGGGGACATGTGGGAAAACCCTGCTGAAGATGTGGACACTGAGCCCCTAGATTCTGATGAGTCTTCTTTGCCAGTAGAAGCCGCCCCTCCCCTCCCATCAGAGCGGTTAACCCTGCGTTGCTCGAGGAGGCAGCAAGGTCCTCCTCCGAGGCAGCTGCCTTGCAAGACAGTGCTGATTCTCCTCAGTACCCACCCCACCATGTCTCTTTGCTTCTCGACCTATAACTGGGCTCGAGTCCCAGCAGATCCCCAAAGGTGAGGGACAAAGTATGACCCCTGAGGAGGTGCACTACAACCTGAAAGAACTACTTGAGTTCTCTAATTTATACAGACAGAAGCCCGGGGAATATGTGTGGAATGGATATTGAGGGTGCGGGATAATGATGGAAGGAACATAAAGTTGGATCAGGCCAAATTTATTGATATGGGCTCACTAAGCAGAGACTCTGCATTTAATATTGGAGCTCAAGGAGTTAGAAAAGGCTGTAAGTTTGTTTGGTTTGTTGGCTGATACATGGACCAAAAGGGGCACACAGAGAGTGACTTAGAAATGCCAAACCTGCCTTGGTTTACCGTAGAGGAAGGGATTCAAAGGTTTGGAGAGATTGGAATGTTAGAGTAGATTCGTCATTTAAGATTCACTCACCCACACTGGGAAGGTCCAGAAGATACCCATGTTAAAAAAAGGAACAGCAGGCCCCAAATGGACTCACTTGCCCCCAAGACAGCAAACCAAGATTTAATTGCAGTTTCAGCCCCTCCCAGGAATG